ATAGATTGGCAAGGTATTCTGGTTATATGAAGCACAAATGAAAATGTGCTGCTAAATATAATTTTTACTTTTGACCTTTGGATACTTGTCCCTCGAAGTTCATACCTAGTTCAGAAGAGTCCTAATTTTATCACATGACAGGAGGCTTCATATTTTGCATAACTCTCTTTACTGAAAACTCCAGCAGCACAGATCATAAGCAGAACAACCAACCAAAAAATTCCACATTCCACAAAAGGCCCTGCCAAGCTCCTCCTCTTTCTTTGCTGCTCCTACTTGCACAGGTCAGAGTATTTTGTTTTTGTGACTTCTTTCTGTATTTATCTTATTTTTTTTATTGTATGGTCACAGTTTAATTGTCTTATCTGCTTTATATTTATGTTTATTTTACACCCACTATTGTCTGCCTTTCCTATATTTTGCTTTTCATGCTTTATTTATACCCTAACCACTATGTCCTAGTACTTTCCACTTCTCAGGCTGGAGCCTGGGACTGTCCTGGCTCTCTCTCCCTCTCGCAGCCTAGGGCTTTGGGTGGTTTCAGTAGTGTATCCTGGTTTTGTACCCTAGGCATGACAAAACTCAGCCCCTCCCCCCTCCCCCCCTTGCCACCCCACCCTTCCCCGCTGCCCCACCTTCTAAATACACACACATTCACTGACACACGCATACACACTCACTAGCAGACACATACAGTCACTAACAGATATGCATACACTCTTGCTAACACACACACACACTAACAGACACACACTAACACACACACACACTCACTCACATTAACACACTCACTTTATTTTTATTTTATATTTTTTTAAATTAAACACCCCCCAGCCTCCTTACCTTTTTTTTGCCGCCCCCTGGAAAATGCCACCTTTGGGAATGCTGGGGGGGGGGTTCTCCCTTTCCCCGGGGTCCAGTGGGGCTGCTGGGCGGACAGAGTGATGGCCGGAGCCAGAATATGACATCATATTCCGGCTCCCGGCATCACTCTGCGGCATGCAAGGGAGCTGAGCAGAGAGCTCAGGGGAAAGTGCTCCCTAGACAGCGCCGCCCACCCGACCGAACATATTTTTAGTTAACCGCCAGGCTAACAAGACATTTGCCCTGGGCATTTGGGGGCGTTTTTTTTTTTTACCGCCCCCTGGAAAATGCCGCCTAAGGCAAATGCCTTGTTTGCCTCGCGGCTAATATGTCCCTGGGTGGTTTTCCTACCAGATCGGTGGTCGTGCGATCTGGCCACAGGTGAGGCTGCAGTATTACTGTGGCTTAAACAAGCAGTACTGCACTATCCTCATATTATCAGGGTCTGGGGCTCTCTAGGCTTATCTTGTTTAACTACTGGACTGCTGTTTTTTGTGCCCATTCCAGCTTCTACATTTGTACAGGTACCTCAGGCTCAGTATTTTACTTGCTGGTTTTCTGCCGTAAAGAGGAATATTGCAGCAATGGATAAGTTGCCTATATAATTTTAATACATGTCTGAATAATGCCTGGAGAAGACAGTGATTATTGTATGTAGACATATTGTGCCAAATGTTCTGATTACCATAGTGAATGTTCTCTGTTACACAAGACACACCACCTGGGGTGAGCCCCCACATACTATATGATGTGCCCTGCCCTGCAGGGATGACCCTCTCTTTTTGTCATGGTACCTTAACTGTCAAATATACCTAATAATTACCTAAAGACCCTTGAATTCATACATAGTGTGCCAAATGTTACTGTTAGCATAGTGGGTGTCCACTTTGTCTTTTGTTACACTAGATACACCACCTGCAGTGTGCCCCTAGATACCAGATAATGTGTTCTCACTACTGAAGACCATTGCATTCAGAAATATTGTGCCAAATGTGACTGTTACTGTAGTTGGTGTCCTCTGTTACACAAGACTGGTGAGCCCCCAGTTAATCATACATATGTTCTGCTGATGCAGATTATCAGGAGTGAGATCCTGTTATGGTACCTCATTAAGCTTTCCACATAAGCGTAGCATCCAGAGACCATTTATTGCTCACCATGGGTACATCTCTGGTGTATTACTGTGGTGAGTCGCCATTGTCGATACATGCCATTATTGGCACCGATTGCAAGGGTGAGCCCCTCTACAAAATGATACAGACTCCCCTGGACGGGAGTTATGCCCCCATTACTATGAGACTTTCATGTCTCCCATATCATGCAAGGGAAACCCTCTTTTGTGTTTTAGAGGGTGAGCCCCTCTCACATTGGCACTTATCACATAGGCACTTATTACACTAAGCAAGAGGCACATACTAATATTGCTGTTGTTCTGGATGAGCCTTCGTTGTACACGAAGTCTGGCACCCTGTGTGCTTTGCGAACTGCCTACTTTCACGGACAGTCTCCCGCAGGATGAGACTTATTGTGGGTGACTCCCTTCATCTACTCAAGTGGGAAAGCCCTATTATGCGTTTTACTTCACCCGCAGGTAGAAGTGGGGACACTAGGTTTGGATGAAACGTCAGGCTCAGTGGTCTCTAGGAAATAAGTTGTACCACGATGACACTGAAGGTAAAAGGCAAAGCCCCAGTGAAGAGATCCAAATGAGTGGGATTAACTGGGTCTATCTCCTGCAACTTCTTTCCTCGCTTGAGGACTCTTCCCTTCCTCACTCCTTAACCGTTGTCGATGAGTTGTATGCAGTGGGCTCTGCCTCCGGGGAAGAGGATTGGCAGGTCTTACCCCAATCTACCTCACAGTATGTCGAGATACATGTGTTGGGTGATGACTACCACCAGAAATATGCCAATACTTCACTGACCTTGGTAACTGGGGACAAGATCATTTTGGATGCTCAAGGAACCCTGTATTTAAACCCTGTACTACCCGACACCCATGATCATCGCAGTGGAACCTACCTACCACCTGGCTCAGTGTGTCCACTGTTAGCTCTGCTTGCCTTTGGTGAAAGAGGATCGTACACAGCTCAGGCCTATTGCACTAGACATCTCCTGCCTGAGGGAATTGCCAATGCACTTGAATTTGACACCACAGCAGTGTTTTTTTTGTTTTTGTTTTTAAGATCGGGCCTTGACGCTGTATAGGCTTCGAGAATGTCCTTATGGCTACGTAGGGTACACTGCTGGTTCAACTGAGTCAGCTAGCTTAAATCCTGTACTTCGCTACACTGGTCCTCTCCCAAGGCATGCACCTGGATCTGACTACCAGTCATGTATAGGCCCAGCCCTCGATCTGTGTTTTGGGCAAGACTAACGCTGCACTGTGTGCTGAATGTCCCATTCTATTTCGTGCTATGACCGTTGCACTCCCTTTGCACACAAATTATGTCCTGGGCTCAAGGGCATCTAGAAGACCTATCCGCGACTCATTTCAGAGGGATAGACAACATTATTGCAGACGATCTAAGCAGATCGAGATGGTCCCAGAACGAGTAGTCTCTAAATCCGGTCATTTTTCTTCAGCTGGTGGAAGTATGCGGTCTACCGGTCATAGATCTTATGGCGAGAATTTCGAACACAAAGATGCAAGCATTTGCCTCCCTCTTCAAGACAGACATGCCTCTGTTTCTGGATGGGCTGTCAATCAAGTGGGACTTCAGCCTTGCATACATATTTCCCCCGGTGAGCCTAATTCCAAGAGTTTTGTAAAAGGTGAAAACAGAACAGGCAATGGAACTGGCCAAATCGGAGCTGGTTCTCGGTTTTGGTGATTTTAAAGTACTGGGAACTTCCGGTTTCAACAGAGCTCCTGGAGAACGAAGGGATTCCAGTAAAGCTATTTAAGATGTTCAAATTGATGGCTTGGCTGCTGCACGGCTACATAACAGGGGCATTAAGAAAGATATTCATGATACTACTGAATTCTACCTCTGCTATCTAATTGAAAATTTGGATGAAATCCCTTCATTGGTGTATCTCTTATTAGTGCCTAAGAACGTCTCCATCTAAAGATACAATTTTGCATTTTCTACAAGACTGCCTTCAGGCGGGTTTTAGTTTATCTACTCTTAAAGTTCAAGTATGCACTCTGAGCCATTTTTTTGGGTCAAGAATTGGCATTGGATCTTCTTCTTAGATTTTCTTTTTTTTTATTTTCTTTTTTATAATTTTTATTGTAGCATAGCATGTGTATAGTTATCATCTCTCATAGTTTTGCTACATTTTAAATGCAACCTTTGCATACGGTGTCACAGGTAGCAGGTAAACATAACAGTCTAGGCAAAGCATAGATACAGTGATATACAAATAGTTCTACATAAGATTTCTAGTTGTGGTTGCATGGAATTAGTAAGAAAAATTAACATTTGCTTGTTGGAGATAGCTTCCTTTTGGGGGGGTATGAGCAAACTGGGAGGTACATGACAATGCGGTTCGCGGGTGGTCTATTGGGCGGTGGGCCCGCTGGGGAAATATTGTTAAAGTGGGATCGGACATAGAGCAATGTCTGAGGATGATAGCCTAAGGGGCATACATCTGTGACACACAGTCCAAGTTATAATGTACTTGCGATATTCAGGTTTTCGGCTGAAGGGTGGCCGCAGCACCGCTCGTTCTTGGGAAAAAGGGTTGCATTCTCTTGACGTCCCATATCCTGGATATGTTCGCTGGTGTCTTTGCTGCGGAGGTAGTGCTTGTAGTGGCCTCCAGGGATATTCCCAAGGTTTGCAGAAATGCTACAGAGTCACTTGCTTGGGTGATTTGTACTCTTTTGCCTTCATTGCTGACAGAGAGTCTGCACCCTGGTCCCCATCTGTATTGTATCCCCTTGGCTCTTTCATGGAGTGTCGCCATGTGACTGTTGCCCTAGAGAGGTCATTATAGAAAGATAGCTCAGAACCTTCAAACTCATATGTGTTTCTCGGGCTGCTTCTTGTACTAGTAGTTTGCCCCGAAGAGATTGAAAGCGGATAAGTAGGTCCCGTGGGACGTCAGCTGGGGCTCTTGGTGGTTTAGGTATGCGAAAGTGAAACTCCAGCAAGATGGATTTTGCTTTAGCTTGTAGTAGCAGGGAGGCTAGTAATCGGCGTAGGTAGTGTGCAACCTCTCAGGGTCTTGCACAGCCTCTGGTATCCCCCTTATCCTGAGGTTTCGCTGGCGCTTAGCGTCTTCCAGTGCTGCCACTTTATTTTCTAATATAGTGCTGGTCTTCTTCATTTGGGCCATTTCCCTTTGCAGGGATTCAATTTTGGCTGTTGTGGCAGCTTCATTCACCTCCACAGCCTGAATGCGGGCTGTCATGGCACCCAGATCTTCCCTGATTAGGGCCACGTCTGCTGCTGATTGAGCTTTAAGCTCCTTAAGCAGATGGATGATGTCTGCTTTGCTTGCCGGCATTTGTTCAGGAGGTGGAGTACTCTCCCATCTAGTGCTCCTTGCTTCAGCGGCCTCCTCCATACTGTCATCTGAGGAGTGATCAGGGGCTTCCCGCGCGGGCGCCATCTTGGCAGGCCGCGGCCATGGCGTTGCTCTGAGTAAATCGCTGATATTTTGAGAGGACGGCATCGCCTCGTTATGGAGCTGCTTGGATTTGCATCCCATTGTGTTCTGACCTGCGTTGGTAGTGATTGGGCTTTACGGAACTGCCGAATTCGTCCTTTGTAAGTGGATTTCTCCCGGAGCTCAGTGCTCTTTTACGTCTTCTTGGGTAGCTCGCTAGCTCCGCCCCCTTCTTAGATTTTTTTTTTAAAGGCTGTCTGGCTCATTAGGACTCCAAGAAAATATTTTTTTCCCCTCTTGGGACCTGTCTTTGGTGTTGAGCTTTTTGTACCCAGCCTTTCAAACCTTTGGAGAAAACTTCCTTAACCCCTTATGGACACATGACATGTGTGACATGTCATGATTCCCTTTTATTCCAGAAGCTTGGTCCTTAAGGGGTTAAAGGAACTGCATTTTTGGTGGCTATAACTTATGCTAAGAGAATAGGTGAAATTAAAGCTTTTTTTATCTTCTGCTGAATTTACAAAGATTCTTCCAGACAAGGTTGTTCTGTATCCAAAACCATCGTTTCTACCAAAAGTTATCTCTTCCAGGGCTATTAATCAACCAATTTCTCTGCCTACCTTTAGTAATCCATCTGTCTCCGATCTGGATAAAAATTGTCACAAGTTGGATGTCAGAAAATCCCTAAAAATATACTTAGACCACTCCTCTGCATACAGGAAGACTGGCAATCTTTTTGTGAATTTCTTTGGAAAATGTAAAGGTTATGCTGCCTCTAAGTTTACTCTTGCTAGATGGCTCGTGGACACTATTAAATTGGCTTATTCTTCCTCAAAACTGCCTTTACCTCCTTGAAAGCTCATTCTACAAGAGCCATGGTTACTTTCTGGGCCGAAAAAGAGAGAGCTTCACCAGAAGATATCTGCAGAGCTGCTACATTTAACACCTTCATCAAACATTACATACTAGACGTATTGTCTGCTTCTGACGCTCCTTTCAGGCATAAGGTGTTACAAGTGGTGGTTGCATAATTTCCGCCCATGGCTCTGGGATCTCGATATATCCCTATTGTACTGCCACCGTATGTCAGGAAAAACTGCAATTTTACTCACCGTAAATTACTTTATCCTTAATATGGTGGCAGTACATCACTTCCCCCCTCCCCTCCCTTTATTAATTTATTTTTGAAGTATTAAGTCTCTGATGTTTTATTAGGACGTACTGAGGGTCCATGGCAGTTTGGTGTCTTGTTGGGGAGGAACTTTTATGTTAATTTTAGTTTCAGATGCTTGTCCTAGTGAAGAGTACATCCCTATTGTACTGCCACCATAATAAGGAAAATTGAATTTACGGTGAGTAAAATTGCAGTTTTTATCCATTCTTTTAGACAGTCGCTCAGTTGTGCATTGTTAATACATTCTTATGGTACATCGAGGTTACTGTGCCTTTACAGACTTTGCTTTCGGACCAACTTCTATTTGGTTTTTTTTACGCCAAGCCCTACAATTTGGTCTCTACTATGACTTTGACTAAATGGATTTGCTGGCTATTGTCTATGGCCAGGATCACTGGTCTGGGGCAACGGTGTAGTTTTTGGCAACATTTGGCAATGTGCAGTTTGGCCGGGGGAGAATTATTTTGTGTGTTTTATGAACAACATTCGTCTCATGCTTCTTTCACTTTTCTAAATCCTCAGCGTTACAAATGCAAAATATGAAGCCTCCTGTCATGTGGTAAAAGCTACAATTTACTTAGAAGCCTCCATACAATATATTGTGGATGTTTGTAAATCCAACTGTTTGTACTGTTCAGCTGCTTGCAACAACAATATATTAGCCTGTTATCTAATACTTTCCCTTATTGCAAAGTCTGTAACCTCTTTGGGGAAAAAAGATTGAGGAGCTGAAAGTAGGCATGTGTATGTGCAGGTTAAATCCCTTTACTTGGAAATTGAGAGAGCACCCAAAACCCTGCAAAATAGGCTAATTAATAACTAATAAAAGGGAAGGTAATTCAAGACATTGTCACCAGCAGACCATCCATGACGAGGGCAACATCCATGAAGAGGTCTCTGATGTAACAACTTTTTTTTTTTTTTTTTTTTTAATGGAGCCAACAAAATATGTCTTAAGTGCATTGAGTGCAGTTGATTTTTCTATTTTTGCTATAATTACTTAGTCTCTCTTGGAGAACTGTTTTAGGTCCATTAACTAACCATTTATAACTGTCTGGGTTGAAAAAAAACACTTCTTCCATTTAGGACTCCTTAGTGCTAGAGGTATTCCAGTACAGATGAGTAATGTATTCCTTATGTAAGAAATTATGACCCTCTTACAAGGATATTCTTTTAGGGAATGTGTGACAAATAAGACATAAACACAAGTGTATAATAAAATGTATTGTAAATATTCATTTAAGGATACTGTTAGATTTTAAAAGGATATACACAATATACATTATACATTATATCCGGTACATAATCAAAAGCTACATAATAAAAGGGCAATACTTAAACATTTAAATGCAGGTCTTCCCCTTGTGCCTTCATCTTGGGTAATCTGGGACAGCCTCTCTCAGTTCACCATGGCCCTGCTTGCTGCGTTGTCCTCTCCAAAGAGAGAGAGCCTTCCTTGGTTGTTGTCCTTTTAAAGACTGATTCTTGGAGTAATAAACTACAAGTCCCAGAATCCCTTTTCCCTCCCAAAAGTGGTTTATCCCACACTCTTTCTCCAGAGAGTTCTGTCTTTACACAAGTCTTTCCCTTTGATCTCTTCCCTCCAGCTATACTGTAATGTTCTGAAAGAAGCGACCAGTTAGGGTTGGTTTCTGGGTGGGTTAGACTGCTTGGGAAAACACACACTTCCATGGTTACACCTAGATGTCTATTACTCTGATCTCCTGATAACATACAAGGAATACTGGAGGGATGTACGCTTTTGTTTTAGCTGGGTGTTGTAAAATGCAACTGAAAGCTTTGATCCTTATCCCACTGTTATCAAGTAAATGACCCCAACTTGTGAAACCAGTCACATACACAGAAAGTTATATACAATATTGCAGTTTGGAATATCAATTTCTTACACTTAGCCATACTACAAGATGGGCAGATGCTAATTGGTTCTCCCATACCAGCTCCTTTTGGTTATTTACAAACTGTTGTTTGTTTGTTTGTTCCAATTCCATTTCAAGCCTTGCTTTAGTTTTATAATTAATTGCTAAATATTTTCTACACTTCAAAGCTGAGACTATATATCATTTTTTGTTGTGGAATTGTGGATTTTTATTTTTTTTAATTTATTTTTTTACGAATTGTGCAGTTCATGTAAACTACAGCACATTCAAATTTATCTTATTTGTTTATTATTTTGGATTGACTAATTTAGCATAGTTTTTTGTTTTTTTTTCTTATAAATAATACATTCAGTTTAATACATTCAGTCCCAGTGCCTCTTTAATTGTCAAAGTGTTGGGTGAGTTATGCGAAAACATTATATCAGTCCATCCTGAACAGTGTGTCTAGTTGGTTATTGAGTATTTAGGTGTGAAGTAAAAGTGAATCTTTAGGTCACAGGTAAATAACATTTGGGCTAGATATGCTAAAGGTATGCTCTATCTTAGAGTTGACACATTTAAATGCATTCTATGGGTTAAGATTTGGCAGCCACTTTTTTTAATAGTTGTGGTTTGTACTGAAGAGGGGGCAGTTTAATTGTTAAAAGCTCAATGAAGTGGTCTGGGTGCAATATTATCCCTTTTTTTTTATTTTTATTTTTTTATTGTCCTTAAATGTCAATACTACGGCACTTTTTTTTTTTTATAACATGGAAAAATAGTGATGAAAATTATGCAGTGTGTAGGAGTGATAGTGAAACAAGTTATGATATAGCAGTTCCATTTCATAGGCACTGATATGGTTTGCAACCAATAACATGGTAGATGATGTGTGTTTAAGTAGGTTGAAAATTATTATTATGATATTTATATAGCGCCGTCAAATTCCGCAGCGCTTTACAATGGGTGGACGAACAGACATGTAGTTGTAACCAGACAAGTTGGACACACAGGAACAGAGAGGTTGAGGGCACTGCTCAATGAGCTTACATGCTAGAGGTAGTGGGGTAAAATGACACAAAAAGGTAAGGATAGTATTAGACTAGTGACAGTTGCAGAAGAGGAATCAGTCAGTAGCTATTAACAGTTTAATTGATACGCTTTTATGAAGAAGTGGGTTTTTAACGATTTTTTGAAGGGATGGAGACTGGGTGAGCATCTAACGGAGGAGGGAAGCGAGTTCCACAGGAACGGTGCAGCCCTCAAGAAATCTTCAAGGCGAGCAACAGAGGTGGCAGTATGGACAGAAGATAGACGTAAGTCTTCAGCAGATCGTAAGGGCCTAGACGGGACATACTTGTGTATAAGGGAGGATAGATAGGTGTAGAGATTTGAAAGCAAGAACCAGAATTTTAAATTGAGCTCTATATTTTATAGGAAGCCAATCTAGGGACTGACAGAAGGGTGAGGCATGGGAGGTGCGGGCAGACAGGAAGATGAGCCTCGCTGCTGCTTTCATTATGGACTGTAACAGCGCAAGTTGGACCACTGAGAAGCGATTTACAGTAGTCAAGGTGAGAAAGGAAAGTGGAAGGGACTAACACCTTAGTCGCATCTGGCATTAAGTAGGGGGGATGTGTTCAATGTGTTTGAGATGGAAACGACAGGATTTTGCAATAGACTGAACATGAGGCGTGAAGGAGAAGTCTGAGTCAAAGAGAACACCTAGGCAGCGAGCCTGCGTGGTGGAGCTGATGGTAGCACCGTTGACTTGGAGGGAAACAGACACAGGAGTAACAACACTTGAGGGAGGAAAGACCAGAATTTCAAGTTTTGGTCAAGTTTAGTTTAAGGAAGTGGGCAGCCATCCAGTTAGAAATAGCAGAGAGGCAGTCAGAGACACTAGTCAAGAGGGACAGGGAGAGATCAGGAGAGGACAGGTAGATTTGCGTGCCATCTGCATAGAAATGATATTGGAAGCCAAAGGAGCTAATGAGTTTACCAAGTGAGGC